AATGAAACATACATAAATTAATAAAAATGACTAAAGCACACAACAAAATGACTAAAAATTATAGAAATAAATGCTAATTCAAAATGCTAATATTATGTAAATAAATTAAAAAAATAACTCTGATACAGACAGAATAACTCAAATTTTCAAGTCAATAGGTCACAATATAATTCAATGTTTAAATACTTGACTGAGTTATGTTATTATTAATTGTATTATTTAATGCAAAAAAGTTAAAGTAAAACCATGCACTATAGCAGTGGTTCCCAAACTTTTTCTGCCGGGCCCCCCTTTTGTAGAGAAAAATATTTCAACATGATCTCCAATATGAAACATACCAGTTGCAACCGATCGTAGCTTCTCCAGAACACCATGTAGCCTACAACACACACAAACAGCATTTACTTCATTATTTTTTACTTTCTCTGCACAAACGTTTTCAACATTGATAACAATAAGAAACATTTCTTAAGCAGCAAATCAGCACATTAGAATGATTTCTGAGGGATCATGTGACACTGAAGACTGGAGGAATGATGCTGAAAATTCAGCTTTAATAAATAGGAATAAATTACATTCCAAAACATATTCAAATACAAAACAGTCATTTTAAATTGTAACTATATTACCGTTTTTCCTGTATTATTATTATTTTTTTATAAATGCAGCATTGGTGAGCAGAAGAGACTCAAAACATCACAATGTAAATAGGGAGACTTTCACCTACCATACAGTGAACTTAATGGTATTGTTGCCTAGAAACAAGGACAGGTCGTCTGCCATCTGCTTTGGGTTCTTCTTATTGGCCACCATGACCATGATGTAATCCGGAAGCTCCTCATCTGACAGAGACACATGGTAACATATTTAATCTGATCTGAACAAGGTCAGTCAACCATCACATTAATGCAGAAATTGTTTAATAGAGATCCTGTTTACCAGACAACATCATTTAGACATGCATGAGGACGGAAAAATTTACTTCTGATTTAAATTGACCCAGAATAATAATGATTACAACTATTTTGTTTAATGTATTCTTATTGTTTAAAAGTAATTGCTGCATTTTTTTACTCTACATTGTTACTTTACTTAAAGGGATAGTTAACCCAAAAATGAAAAGTACCCCTTGATTTACTCACCCTCAATGCATCCTAGGTGTATATGACTTTCTTCTTTCAGACGATTACAATTGGAGTTATGTTAAAAAATGTCCTGTCTCTTCCAAGCTTTAGAATGGCACTGAATGGGTGTTATTTTTCAATAGTCCAAAAGAAGTCCAATAAAGTGCATCCATCCATCATAAAAAGTGCTCCACAAGGTCTCCTGAAGCGAATCGATCCATTTTTGTAAGAAAAATATCCATTTTTAAACCTTTATAAAACGGTAATCTCTAGCTTCCGTGAACTGTCGTACGCGCGTTCACGAGAGTGGTGTTCCAGCGGATGATGTAGGACGCAGGCGTAGCGTAAGCTCCGGTGAGAAGTGATGAACACAGAAGCGCACAGGAGACAGCAAAACAAAACACCGGTCACGAGTTAGAAGTACAAAACGAGGATTTGTAAAGAAAAATGTCAGAGGATTTCGAGATAAGCCAAGAGGAGCCTGGTTTTCCTTTGCTCGTGAGACTAACATATTCTCACTGGAGCCTGCGTCCTACATCAGCCGCTGAAACGCCACTCTCTCGTGAACGCGCGTACGACAGTTCGCGGAAGCTAGAGATTATGGTTTATAAAGTTTTTAATATGGATATTTTTCTTACAAAAACACATCGCTTCACTTCAGAAGGCCTTTATTAACCCCCCGGAGCCGTGTGGAGCACTTTTTATGATGGATGGATGCACTTTATTGGACTTCTTTTGGACTATTGAAAAATAACACCCATTCAGTGCCATTATAAAGTTTGGAAGAGCCAGGACATTTTTTTAACATAACACCAATTGGATTCGTCTGAAAGAAGAAAGTCATATACACTTAGGATGGCTTGAGGGTGAGTAAATCAAGGGGTAATTTCATTTTTGGGTGAACTACCCCTTTAAATGAATAGTTCACCCGTAACTCCACACAACTCCAGTTCATCAATTAACGTCTGGTGGAGCGAAAAGCTATGTTTTGTAAGAAACAAATCCATCAAGACGATTTTAACTTCAAACCGTTGCTTCTGGTTATAACGAGTCTTCTGTCCTTAATATTGGTTTCTCCAGCTTTTCAATTCATAAAACAGCTTTTCACAAGATGTTAATTGATGTGCATGGATTATTGTGATGTTTTTATCAGCTGTTTGGACTCTCATTCTGACGGCACCCATTCACTGCAGAGGATCCATTGCTGAGCAAGTGATGTATTGCTACATTTCTCCAAATCTCTTCCAAACTTATCTATATCTTGGCTGGCCTGAGGGGGAGTACATTTCCAGCATATTTTTATTTTTGAGTGACCTATTCCTTTACATTTATTTTATGCTACTCATTTTGCAATGTTAATATGTAGCTTATTCAAGCTATTGTAATTTTACATTTCGCAATATCTTATTGTATACAGCGGTGCTGCAAACACTTTGCAATAAAAATATAAAGTTTCTATAAAGTCAGTCAAGAAGATGCAAGAGTGAAAATGTAAAATGGCAGCTGTGAGTGTCACTGTGATCTGATTCTTTATTTGTTCGCTAAACTTTCTATTTTGCAGATGACAAGACTTTCCGTTCATTTTTTCCGTAGCAAGTGCACTACAAAAACTGATGAAAACACAATGCAGTTGATTAAAAATAAATTATGCATATCTGTTTTGAGCTCTTACCCACATAAGCGCCGAGCTCCTGCAACTTTCCTTTGATAGCAGTCTGAAAAACAAGAAATAAAAAAAGACCAAACAAAACTTTATCTGCACTGATGCATTACTATTTAACATACAAACACTAACTACCACCTTTAACCTTTACAAAACAGTATCGATGATGGCCCCAGATGACAATCACATGGCACTGAAAGCTCATGTAACACTGTAACACAGTATTTACATGCTAATCCCAACGTCCTTTAAAGAACACTATGGTAGTTAGTGAAGATCGCTGATATCCAAATACACAACAATAAACAAAAACTCGTTACTGTATTAAAAACACCCCAAACACATTTCATTAAACAGAAACGCGCAAAAAACGAGCAACAGACGCGCAGCAAACATTCATTAGCGAGCACGCTAAACCGTGCCGAATGCTACGCACTGTAAACGGCTTACCCTTATTTTCTTGCTAATCTCAGTTCCGATCTCCATATTTGTTGGTTTGTTGTTTCCCCTCTGATTCAAGATACTATTTAAATGAACAGGACATCGAGAAAAGAAGAAAGAAGGACAGTTAGCTATTGCCAGGCCTCGCGTGCAGCGTCTCTATTCATACTGCGCATGCGCAGCCAAGTCAGGACGATAGTATCATGTTTAATTTTCTTAAAATAATTTTATTAATAAAAACGAATATATAAGTGCTCGAGAGCTACAATAATTTTTTAAAAACATTATTTTAAACTGCTCATTTATTTGATTTATACAAATCAAACTAAATAAAAAATGTTTTTTTATTGATTGATGATGACGACGATGATGATGATAATGTATCAATAATAAGAATTATATTTATTTGGTATTTAGTATATTTTGTATTTTATTTTACTATATACTTGATTTTTCTTATAGAAAATGGTATGAAACGTTTTTAATTTAATTTTTTTAAGCAACATGGATACAAAGACTATAGGAACATTGCACATGTGTTTTAAACTAGGTTTTTAAAGATTTCTCCATCTTGGACAACTTATTTGTCAGTGACCCTTAATATGAATTATTTTTGTAGTCTACCTAATTTTTCCATTGTTTATTTAAAAAAAACTAATTTGTTGATTTTAGTTGCCTATATTTATTTTTCCTTTATTTTCTGTTCTATTGTTTATAATATATCGTTTTGTTTAATGTTAATGTTATTTGATGTTAACCAGAAAAAAACGTTTTGTGAATTTTGTCGTTGTTTTATGTCATTACATTGGTTGGAGCATAAAAAACAAATGGAGAAAAAACATTTTTGAAAAAAATATATTTTATTCATATTTTATTCTATGTCCTTTGTAGAGGACGCCAGGACTAAGTTATTTAAAAAAAAATAAGGCATGTATAGGCAAAAAATCTTTTTTATTTTTTCATTCATCAATCAGTCTTTAGGTTTCAGGCTATTTTAGCCAAACTTTGTACAAAGATGATTCTCAACTATGTTATTAAAAAAGATATAACAGAATGATTTGATATAGTCTACTATTGTACTTTATGGAATATGTGCGTAAAATGTCCATAAATTGGTATTCCCATTCTATCCAATGTATCTATACATTGCATCTAATTTGCTAAATAATTAGTTCTTGGGGCAAACCATATGAAAAAAGAAGTGTTATAATGGGAGTAATAACTTGGCAACATTTTCTTAAGAATATCTCATAATTCATAGGAATATTGATCTATAATTTCTTTCCCTGTTGATTTATTGTGTTTCCCCAAAATGTCTGATTAACATGTTTGTCCTGCTGTCCTCTACAGAAGACATTATGAGATATTATAGAAATTATGCCCCGTTTTGTAACAAAAAGTCATATTCCGATTTTTCTTAGATGCTTATTTACGACAAACAATTTGAAATCTAGCCAGATTTATTACAAAACATTATCATATTTCCCTAAGAGTGCTAAATTTGATAATTCTGTCAGATTGTCAATATCAGAGAGGGAGTGTTTATGATCAAACCTCCAAACATTTGATATTTCTAAAAAGTCCAGAATGTGCTCTGTACAGGACATCCAGACTTAAAATTGTGGCATGTACGGTCTCAGAAAAATTCAGTAAAATACAATGTCCTCTACAGAGGACAAAAGTCTATATGCCTGGGTCCCAGGAGGAAATTAAAAACATTTTGACGGTTTGACCTCAGCGTCGCTCCTCCAGTCCGCCAGGGTGCGCTAATGCACACGCGCGCTCTCTCTCTCTCACACACACACACACACACTCATGACATCAGCTGTCAAACGGCGTGAGTTTGATGCGATTCAGATATTTAGTCTTTAATTAAATAATCGAGAGAGAGAGAGAGGATGTGTTTATATCTCTAAATCATGAGAATAAAGAGGAACACAGTGACGGCGAATTAAATCCGCCCGAGAGAAACGCAGATGTACTGATAGCGGAGGATTTTACGGGATTTAAACGATGAGCTGGCTCGGCAGAAACGCAGTGATCGGTCTCGGTGTCGGTGTGACGATAAGCACCGGCCTGATCGCATTATTGATCATTAAAGAAGCTCTCAGGAGGAGAACCCGCCGCCTGCTGCACAACACGAGCTCCGGTTTACAGAGCGAAACGGGTCTGAACACAAAAACACATCCCATACATCAACAGTTTCACTTCAAATATGATCTGATCTGACACTAGACACGTGTGTGTGACCTGATGTGTGTGTGTGTGTTTGTACAGTAGACTCCGCGGCTCTTACCGCAGCGGTGAGGGATTTGTCTCCCGAGCAGCATGTGGAACTGAGGAAGACTCTGGACGAGGTGATGAAGAGCGTGTCCTGTCTGAGGAGTGAGATCGCAGAGCTGCGGGAGGGTCTGAGGGACATCAGCACCACCATCGCTGAAGATGTCAAGTGGGTGAACACTCTTTCTACTCGTATGCTCGGTTTTAGTTTTGTCTGTCATATTACACTACCAGTCAAACGTTTTTGAACAGTAAGATTTTTCATGTTTTTTT